GTAAAAAATACCTTACAGTGCACAAATGGGTGGTTTGTTGATTTCACTGCCTGGCATACTGATCCGTGTCATTTTGTTTCCTTGGACTTTACTGTCCATTTGTTTACATCTAGATTGGAAGTTCTTTGTGGCAGGGTCAGTGTTCTCTTTCTGCTTGCCTAGGGAATGGGCACTGTACAGCCTGGGCAATGAGTGAGGCTCTTAGCAGAAATGATTACGAAGATAATAAAAACATTAAACAAGGAACTGAATCTTGGTAGTACAGGGTACAAAATAAAGGAAGCTGTCTTCTGAAACAGATAAGGAAACAACTTTTACAAAGCATAATGGTAAGCTAGAGCTCTCTTACTCTGGTATTTCTTAATTATATTAATTAGAAATAAAGAATTGCATATTTAGCAACAATTTTATTCACGGTTATTCCACAAGCTATGCTGGTATTAATTTCTTTGTTTAGAAGTCACCATAAATTGAGAAATATGCTGAAATCAAAGTTACTCAGTAATGGAAAATGTTAAAAGATTGTATTTCCAAAGGTCAAATACCAATCCAAAATAAACTAGATGTGTTGAATTCAGGATTGTACTGAGGGATGGAGGAAGGGCAAGATTATTTCACAACTCTGCACATCACTTGTGCTGCGGATCTACTTACCTGCAGTTATCTCTTACCTATTGAGTAGTGGCCAATGCCAAAGCTGCATAGGCATTTCCCACCCACCCACCATGAAGAGAAATCAAACATTTGGAGTTGTCTGACATCAGTTGGGGGAAAAGGGGGTGGTACTTAACATTACTTGTCTGATTCACCACAAAATCACTTGGCTTTTGAGGGCTGTGTTCCTGGAAAGTAAGACTAGAGAGAACAGAAATCCTTGTTGCTTACAAAAATAAAGAACACTGCAAAGCTAATTTATTTATACTGGATAGAATTTCTGTATTAGAACGCAAATAGTGCCGAGCTGCACTGGCTTGCTGTGTTCAGCAGGTGCAAATTGCATAAGTGGCCTGCTGAAGTGCAATAGGGAATGTGCTGAATCTAAAAATACGGCTGGATTAGAATGGAGTGTACATGGGTGTCGTGGTTTAGGAATGGTATTCTCCAATTTAGTGTTCCCACTGAAACCACCCCATGCGCTGCTCAGCACTGCTCAGCACTGCTCACTCACTCCCCTTCCCACTTCCCTCCTTTGGGCTGGAGAGGAGAATTGGAGGCACAAAAGGTAAACCTCCCCATGCCCACTCCTGGCTGTTGCAAAAATTAACCCTGTCTAGGCCAGAACCAGAACACTGGGATATTTTGGCTAGTTGTGAGCAGGAGGCACGGAAGCAGGAAGCAGCAACGGGATTTCTAAGCTGAAATTGGGCAATGCTGCTGGAAAAGGAACATTTACGATCATGGATATACTGTTAATTGCTCTTTGTATAAGAGTAATTGGTAAAATGCATGGGAGGGAAGTACTCAGTGTATAGCAAGAGTCTGAGATGCTTTTTTCGTGAAGTTACACTTATGTTCTTACTGCCTATATCTCTGTGGAGTTTGATCAACTTTTTCTGAACAGAAACTAGGCCTTACTTACTCCCTTAATAGCTTTGTGCCAAGATTCTCAACTGGACCCATCAGTGTCCTCACTGTGCCTTTCTGATTTTTTTTTTTCTTGTTCCTTGCTGAAAGGGTTTTGTTGACCCCACAGCCACAGTACTGATCTCTGTAATCCTGAGTTTCCTTAAACAGCCTTGCATTAATCTGCAGATAATTAACATCTCTCGTCACACCACTAACCCTCAAAACTGAAGCTGAAGCATCCCTCCTTCGCATACCTCTTGATCATGTTTTTACTTACCAGTTATCTTGGAGGTTATTCCACTCTTTGTTATGCTGGTTTAGTCGTCTTTCTTTTACATCCACAAGTTACAGTGATCTCTAAGTAGATGTTTTAGTGTAATTACATGTGAAAAGCATGCTACTTTTAGCTAAAAACGAGTTCCCAAAAGTATAAATGACTTCTTAAAAAGAATACCATCCCAATATGCCAAACTTAAGCCAACATGAATAATTATGCATTCTTTCTGCACCATTAACACAGGACTAACGAGTAGTATATCTGGCACTGCTTGTAAGTCAGGAGGCTGCATAGTAAGGATGCTCATAACTCACGTAACTGCAGTTTTTTGTTGCAGTCCCCTCCATCCCATCCTATTTCATCCCATCCATCCTCCCTCTGTAGTTAAATATATGATGGCTGGGGTCGAAGAGAGGAGAGTAGTGCCCATGCTTCTGTTTCTGCAAAAAGCAAGGACTGTATTGTCCAGAGTTTTGCTTATTATTTGATGCAGTATACTGTGTTTATTTTTGTTACATGTAAGCATTTATATGAAGATTAATTTGGCCATGCCTTTATAGATTAAGCATGTTCTGGAGCATGTTCTGTGATTAATTGGTATCCTGTTTTCCAGTTATTTTTCACTTTTCTATGGAAGTTTTAACCTCTTGCTTTTTCCACTGGTTTGCAATTCATATAAAAGAACATGTTTGAAAAAGACGTTTTTTCTTTAAATACTCACAGGAAACATTTCACCTATATGCTACTGTTTCCCATAATACGGTATGACAGCTTTATGCATGATTTCACTACAGTGGACCAAATCACTGGAAGAATTGAGAATATGACATTTACTTTTTGAGCATTTTTAGGGTAGTTCCAAGTGTGTTCAAGAACTGCAGATGACAAAGAATATGAAATTTTTGCTGTTTATCTGTTATCCCTAGACACCTTTGAAAAACTGCATTGTGAAATGAGTTTAATTCCACTCTGTAAACTGCTGCAGGATAATGTTTGCTGCATGTTTTTCTTTGTCCTGCATAGCCTTACATGTTCATGTGGGGATATAATGTGGATTAAAAAGGGCTTGCCTCAAATAAGATTGTGTGCTTCTGCAGTAACTATTTGGCCTGTTTCAAGCACAGAGCACCCAAGTCTCTTTGGAGCAATGGCTTCTGAAGGCTTTCTGAAGCGAATAATCCTATTACCAAGTTAATTTGAGTGCTCAGGCTACTTACAGCCCATGTTAGAGGGAACAGGAGGGGCATTGCTTTATAACCAAGAAATGCACTAGTGTCTTTACAGAGGATGCCATTCAGGTTGCCCCTGAACCTGTGCAGTGGAAAGAGGTCTTGTGGCTGGCAACCACAACCTGGAGGCAGAGAGGGCACTGAATTCTTGTTGTTCTGAAGTGGTGGGAGAACCCATGCTACCTTGTGGTGCCAGATTTGGAGTAGAGGGTGCTGAGAAGCAGCTGGCACTGGCCATGCTGCTCTCTTTGGTGGCAGACCTTCTGCAGTGCTGCTGTCTGGAATGTCCAGAACCATGGAGGCTGCCCAGCAGAGGTTGCTTGTGACTGAGCTGCCCCTGGAAGTAGCAGCTACTGCAGGTAGTGGGAATTTTAGGGGATACGTTGCTCTGTGTCTACTTTTCAGCCCATTCAGCATTTGCTCACATCTCATCCAAGCCGCGAAAGGAAATACGGGAGTGCTAAAGGCAGGATGGATATGTCACCCTAACTAACTCTGCTCACCTGTGGGGCATGCAGGGATCAGCGGGCTGCAGGGAGCACAGGCACCCAGGGACCAGCAATCCCCCTATGGGCTCTGCCAGTGATATGGTACTGAGGTGTTCACAAAATCAGTTAGGTTAGAAAAGGCCTTTGATATTGAGTCCAACCTATGACCAAACACTACCCTGCCAACTCGACCATGGTGGCTCTGAGTGCCACGTCCAGTCTTTCCTTAAACACCTCTAGGGTTGGGGACTCCACTACCTCCCTGGGCAGCCCATTCCAACATCTAATCACCATCTCTGTGAAGAAATTCTTCCTAATGTCCAACCTGAACCTCCCTAGGCACAGCTTTGAGACCATGCCTTCTCATCCTGTCGCTGGTTGCCTGGGAGAAGAGGCCAACCCCCACCTGGCTACAACCTCCTTTCATGTAGTTTTTAGGCAGCAATAACGTCACCCCTAAGCAACCCCCACTCCCTCAACCACACCTCCTAGGACATGCACTCCAGACCTTTCACCACCTTCGTTGCCCTTCTCCAGATTCACCCCTGAATTGAGGACCCAAAACTAAACACAGTATAAAAGGTGTGGCCTAACTAGTGCTGAGTAGAGGGGAAGAATCACTTCCCCCGTCCTGCTGCCATACTATTTCTGATACAGGCCAGGATGCCACTGGCCGCCTTGGTCACCTGGGCACACTGCTGTCTCGTGTTCAGCTGGCTGCTGACCAGCACCTCCAGGTCCTTTTCTGCTGGGCAGCTTTCCAGTCATTGCGCCCCCACCCCAGCCTATGCCACTGCATGGGTTTTTTTGTGGCCAAAGTGTAGAACCCAGCGCTTGGTCTTGCTGAACCCACTTGTCCCACTGATCCAGCCTGCCCAGGTCCCTCTGCCGATCCTTCCTACCCTACAACAGATCAACACTCCGACACAGCTCGGTGTCATCCGTGAATTTGCTAATGGTAGACTCAATCCCCTTATCCATGTCTTTCCCCACGTTTGAACAAAACAGGGGCTGCTCTTGCACTTTAAAACCACGGAGGCACCAACCCTCTCTCCCCGCCCGGCCCCCGCCTTCCCCCGCTCAGCGCCCGAGCCTCCCGCCCGCCGCGGCCGCTCCCCCCGCGTTGCCGGGCAGCGAGAGGGGCGGCGGAGCGGGGCAGGTGAGGGGCCGTGCCCAGGACTCCCCCGAGCCCCCGGGGCAGCACCGCCGGGGCGGGGGGCCCGGCCAGGATGGCTCGGCCGGGGCTGGTATCGCCGCGGCGGTGCCCGGGTGCGGGGTTGGGCTCCCGGTGCTCTCTCCCCCCAGCTCGGGGCTGGGGAGCGGCGGGTCCCCGCGGCGCGGCCAGGCCAGGCCAGCCTGGCTGCGGCTGCTTGTCGGCCTGGAACACTTGGGGCCGGTTTTGAGTGCGTGAAAGGAAAAAAAAAATTAGAAAACAAGAGCTAATAGGAGGTGAAAGAGTTGAGCTGAGCTTTGTGTTGAGGGAGAGTAAGCCCCCACCGTGCACCCGTGGTGCAGGGGCTGCCTGACCTGGCTGTGTGTATAGGTACAGGAGGTTCCCCTTAAACATCAAGAAACCCTTTTTCACTGTAAGGGTGACCAAGCACTGGCACAGGTTGCCCAGGGAGGTGTGGATGTGGTTCAAAACCCTCCTGGACATGGTTCTTGGCAATCTGTTCGCAGGTGGCCCAATTTGAGCAAGGGGTTAGACCAGGTAACAGGTAACCTGTAAGAGGTCCCTGCCAACCTCAACCCTTCTGTGAGAATCTATGATTAATGGCTTACTGTAGAAAAGCAGTTCTTGCACTGGTGTTTTGGTTTGGGTTTGTTGTTATTTTTTTTGTTGTTGTTCTTGTTTTGGGGGGTTTTTGGTTGTTTTTTTGTTTGTGTTTTGTTGGGGTTTTTCTTTTTGTTTGTTTGTTTGGGTTTTTTGTTTTGTTTTGTTTTCTGATTTTGTTTTTACTCTTTTATTTGACTGTTTCCTAAGGGGACATACACACACAAACACGTATATTCATTCCTTCCTCTAGTTTTTTGTGTTGTCCAGAAATCCTCAAAATTTTGCATTCAGCTTCAATTCCTTGGCTACAGCTGTGTTTCTGAATCATTACTGAACGTGTGTGATGTGTGACCAATACAGTAATTAAATGCTCTCTCTGGAGTCTGTCCCTGATGCAAATTTTCTGCGTTGGAGTGGGGAAGATGCTGTACTCTGTCTGCATTTCTCCAGAAATTAAGTTCTAAGTATGGTTTGATGCTCAAAGGAGCTGTGGGTCACAGCAGTCCCATTCCTCCATTACTGACTTATAATTTTTTTTTCCAATGCAGGAAAATTCACATGATAGGGAGAGAAAGCCACCTGCCAGGTAGTCTTATTTTTATCTTAAAATAATATAAAGGGATAGAGAACACTGTTACATTGATTCCTTTCTTGATGCTGTTGCTTTCACTGCTCTTCTCCTCTGCAAATAACCAATATGATTTCAGTTCTTGTTGCCAAATCAACTTAAATAGGTTATAGTTCGTCCTTGCAATGATGAGGAGAGATTTCCCACCAAATGTGCCCCATTTCAAGGAGTCAAGTACTATACAATAATCTATCTCTTTCCCTTCTTTTGGATCCTGGGTGACAGAACTCCTTGTAACAAAGGCGTTACATCCTGAACGAGACAAATGTACCTGTAGAACTGTATGAGCAAAATGCAGTGCGTGGTTGCAGCACAAGTGAATGTTTTGTTCGTTGCTGTAGTTTTTTTGTGTGAAGTCTGCCAGGAGCACAAATTAGCAACTTTTTGCTGCAACATTTTTGGAATACGTAAACACGGTAGAAACTTGGTCATCTGCATACTCTGGCTTCTATACAAAAATTACAAGATTCTCCTCAGTGTGCTGTCAGTCTAGCTAACTTTCACACTGGCATGTGTGGTGTGACTTGTCTGCACTGCCTGTTTTACAAATTTGTGTTGTGGTAGGTTTGAGGGGGAAAATCAGTTTAAAACTACCTAAAGATACCCATTAAAGTAGTAGTTCTCCTCCTCCAGAGCTGTGGTTGGTGTCCAATCTCCAGTGTTTTACTTGGTGTTGTCACTAAATAAAGTATTTTAGAGAAGTGCAGTGCTCATCTGACAGATGCAGACCCTTCTGTCACCTCTCCAGTAGCCCCAGCTGTCGGGTAGGACAGGAGGGAGTTTGGGGACAGGCACTGTTCACCCACAAGTGCACACACAGTTTTTCATTCGCATTCTGTATCTGTGAACTGCTGTTTTATTTCTTTCAGGTCCTTGTGACTGAACAGAAACCAACCATGCCTCTTCCAGAAACCATGTTTTGTGCTCAGCAGATCAAAATCCCCCCAGAGCTACCTGACATTCTGAAGCAATTTACTAAAGCTGCTATTAGGACTCAACCTCGTGATGTTCTGCAGTGGGCAGCTGCGTAAGTGTGATGTTCGAAGATGTCCCCTCCATGTGCAGGGGGACCTCTACCCCATGTATAGGGGGTAGAGCTCTCTTCAACAGAGAGCTGTACATGGGGACCCCCAAAATCTCACTGCTCCTCTTTACTGTACAGTGGAGCTGGATTTGAATATTAAATCAACGTGTATATGCCATACACTCTGCTTTATATTAATGTGGTAGGACAACCTTTTAAAAATAGTGCAGTACTTGATTTATTTTCTGCTTCCTTGAGGCTTTGGACTGGCTTATTCCTGGAATAGTTCGATTTCCATACAGGAAAATGCATCTTAATTTGGTTTTGTTATTACTTTTTCCATCTTAAAGACCAAACCTTTTTGGTTTGGTTTGGTTTGGTTTGTTTTTTTTCCTCTCATGTGAGATTTAATTCTTGAGATTTAAAGGCAACGTAGAAAATAACTTTCTAATTCTTAAGCTTGTTAGGTTTCTTCTTTTCCTTTCTGGGAAAAGTGCCTGAAAAGTTGCAACTTTGAAATTATAATCTATGTAATAAATATCTCACTAAAATGTTGATTTAAGATGTTTAAGGGTTTCTTCTTTAACTTTTTTTTTTTTCTTTTACCCTAACTGCCCACTATAATTTTTTCCTGTCTTGTGGTTTGTGTGGGCAAGCTCTTGAAAGGTATCTGTGAGATGTTCTCAGTTGGGGGGACTGGAAAATGTCTATACTGTGTTCATGAGGGAGGGGAGGCTGTTAACAAAGCCAGGCTGGGGTCTGGCTTGTCCATAAAAAAATAGAGAATCTGAAGCTGAATTGCTACAGCTGCAGTGTCAGAGAAAGGATTGGGACAATCTTAAAATGGCATAACATTTCTTAGGAACGTGATGGAGGTGGGGTGCTGCGTACCTCTGGGTGATGGATGTGCAGTGAGCTTGCCCCAGCTGTGTCAGAAGCAGCAGTCACCAGGTAGCTGGAGCTTGCTGGGGCATGGGGCTGGTGAAAGAAGGGCAGTGTGGCACTGCCACGGCCACACCACCGGCCAGACCCCAACACCTGCCTAGAGAGGAGCCTGCACAGATGGGTAGGTGGCTGCTGCTGATCACACACACCTCTGGTGAGCAGAGCAAGATCCGTGCCTGGGAGCCACACAAAGCAGAGCAAGGCTGTGATTTCACATGTGCTGCCAGTGTAGTAGGTTTGTCCTTGTGAATAAGCAGATGGGGAAATGGATCGGGCTGAAAAGTAGCCCAGGTGTTGTATCTACATACCCACCGTGCATCTCTTTCTACACAGTCACACCAATGCAGTGCTGCTTGCTGTGCATTTTGGCACAGCATGGGGTAGCCTGGTGGGTGACCAGAGCAGATGAGGCAGGATGAGTGGAGAAACTCCTAAATTACACCCATCACTACCTGAATGAAAACTGAGTTTTCCTTGCACAGTTCAGATTGCTGGCCAGTTATAGAAGAGGTGGTTGCTGTTGAGTCTGTGTCAGCCTTATAATCAAAAGAATGTGCATCTAATGCCCTTTCTGCTCTATTTTTAAATTTTATTTTGGAGCGGACAGAAATAGTAGAAATGTTGATGTGAGAGATGCAGCATTTTGGTTAGTATTTGAGGGGAATAGTAAAAAGATGAGCAGTCAGGTGCTCCTCAGTCAAATGGGAAAAGCCTGTGTTTGGTTTGGAAGCACACTGTGATGTTAATAAATCACTCTCTGCCAAGAAGAACTGAGTGTATTATGCACAAAATAAGTTAAATGCCTTAAGAATTATTAGAATGTCATAAAAAGGAATATGTAAAAGATTGTGGTTTCTGCTAGAAAGATGCTATCTGAGCACAGGGAGATGGGAATTATGCGTGTGGGCAGCTTGCTGAGTGCTGCCACTCCTGCTCAGGAGCTTGCAGGTTCTTTCACTGACCTGCAAGGGCATTCACTTCTGTGCGGTTTGTAATGGCCTTCGGCATTGAGATGTGTTGCTCTTCCCATTCACTCAGGTATTTTTCAGCCTTGTCAAAGGGGGAGCCCCTTCCTGTGAAGGAGAGGATTGAAATGCCTTCAGCAACAGGAGAAACAGGTGGTAGTTTGACTCCTGGACTCCTCAAAGTCTTGCACAAAAAGGTACAAACTGGCCTTTATCAAATGCACAATGCTACTGAGGAATGCTGATGTGTTGGAGCTGGTTGGGTAGCCTATCTTCAAATATTTGATGTATTTTGGGGAACTACTCTGTTCTTTGATTCATTCTAGTTTTCAGAGTTCTTATTGTGGTACCATGATTTTGTTTAAAGCTTTCTCCCAAAGGCATGGTGACTGTTGCAGAACTAAAGGAAAAATGGAAGCACTTGTGTTTGCCAGAAGAGCAGCTGAAAGCTATCCTGCAACTGGACAATTTTGGCGAGGAGGTAGAATGGATGAAGATTCTGGCACTTGGGTGCAGCGTGCTTGGTGGGGTATGTTCACAACAGGAGCCCTTGTATCTAAACACAGATGGTTGTCTGTGATCATATATAAGGCCATAGAACAATTACTGCAAATGGATTTGGGAAATGGTGATTGCTGTTGCAGCAGCTGGCAAAGGGGCTTGCATCTTTACTTCTGTTCCCCATCAGATTTTAATCTGGGGAACTTAAACAGAAAGATGGCTAAGTCCTCAGCTGACTGGGATGGCACTAGAAGAGTAAGAATGTCTGCAGGGAGCTCGTACCATGAGAGAGAAGATGATAGAGGAATGATGCGGATGGCATCAGTGTAAATGTCCATGGAGGAGAACTGGAGGGAGAAATTAAAGCACTAATTTTTAATTGATTGTGTAGTCAATTAAATTTTCACAGCAGCAGTTAATGTTACTAAATCTACATTTAATTCTTTTAATGTCAGTAATAATATCTCAGCAGAGCATTTCAAGAAAATGGAATACTATAAAATGCACTAAGGTGATGTTCTTATAAACTATAATACTTCTAGTGATTTCTACAGAAGGGAAGAGGAGGTATTAAAAAGAAAATACACACAAAATAATATTTTGTGATTGTTGCAATATCTGAAAACCCTGAATGTTTACCTGGCCTTGCAATGCAATTGTGCAAGTATATTTATCTTTATTTATTTATTTCAACTGTGTATTTCTTCATTCCAGTCTCCTTCCCAACATGATCTTGTAGTTTGGGCTCTTTTCTTCATTTAAAAATAGTAACAGCAACATTACTTATCTAAAAAAAAGAAGCAACCAACCAACCAAAAAAACTGAGTAATGGAAGCATCATTCTGATGGAGCTAGACATCCACGTTATCATTCTTTTGGATATTAAGTGAATTATTTGATTTCAGGACTACATAACAAAACCTAAACTTTATTTTCCTAAACTAGAGAGGAAGACACACACAAGAAATTTTCATTCACTTCCCACAGCTGTAAATTGTGGCCATAGTTGAACAGGGTCACAGCTGAAATACAAGATTAGACAAGTGTGAAATTCTTAAGAGCACCAGTTTGAACTATCTTTTTACAAAGTAAACACTGATGTGTTTTTACAGCCTTGGGGAAATGACCACAGAGGTAGCCTATTAAATAGTCTTTCAAAGGTGGCAAAATGGATGTGAATAATTTTACTGTGTTGTGAGAGAGAGACGGGGCAGAAAGGGCAGTAGAGAGGTAGCAAAATGCAGAAGGTAAACTCTGCCATCACAGAGGCAGCTGCCTCTCCTTCCACAGAGAGGCCTCCCAGGAGATGAAATACGTTAGGTAAAACTGTTAAAGGATTATAAAATTACACTTCTCTGACCTGTATTCTAGATCTTAAACAGATACTGCATTTAAGTATTCCTAGTCTACTGTTAGAAAATACTATCTTTTTACATAGTCATTGCTTGCTTTGACTGAACTGAAATGTTCTTTAAATGCTTTTTGCCTCAATGCTTTTTCTACTAACTACTAAAATAGAACTTGCATACAGATAGAGGAAACAGTAAATATCAGCTAAAATATTATCTAAAAATTATATAATATAATGTCTCAATAAAAATCATCAAACCCATGTTCATTTTCTGGGGCTTGTAGATTTGTCTGTCATAACTGCTGCTGAAAATTCATTTAGAACCATTGAGATAATAAAGATACACATATACACACATATGTCTATCACTAGATATGGTGATGTTCAAGCTCTTACAGTAGCAGAATAGAGCAATTTGCCCATGTTGGAGAGAGTGATCATATTACCCCATGCAATCTTTAAACATCACAGGACTCTGGTATTTTTTACTACTGTTTCTAGTTGAACCTCGTTATTGTTTCTACCCTTAGACCTGCACTTGAGGGTAACTTTGGGGTTTAAAGCTAGATAATGATGATAACACCTTAATCTCATTTACCCTCACTTTCAGTGTCTAACAGTGTAGATTTTGTTATAGTATGCAAAGGATATTCATGGCTCTGATACTTTTCGTCTCATTTCTTGACTTAACCCCCTGCAGTCCTTACTGAGTTCAATGAAACATGCCTGCGAAATCTTAACAAGTGAGCCAGAAGGTGGAGCAGCTCCAATTCCCTTTGAAACATTCTCCTTCCTTTATTTGTATTTGGCCAGTATTGACGGAGAGATACCAAAAGATGAAACTGAAACATTCCTCCAAAAAATTAAAGAAGAAGCGTAAGTAGAAATCTGTGCATGGAATTTTAATGTATCGATCACCTCTGGATTCTCCATAAACCTTTTATTTCAGGTGAATAGTCTGTCTTCTGGCAGACATGGCATAGCCATGATGTCAGGAATAAGTATTGAGTAAGATTATATCAAAAAGTGTACATAGTTATTTTTTGTCAGCTTCATTGTTTGAACTGTTAAAAGATAAGTTGTTATTTATCCATCTTTCTCTGAAATACTGAAGTAGCTGTCTGGTGGTGTAATTTTCCTTGTAGAATGCAATTAAATACAGGCATGTATCAGCTGTATATTACTGGTTCTGGAACCAGCAGCATCTTATGGGCTGCTCTTTTGATTTAATATAGGTCATAAACCGGAGAGGGAGAGATTGGCAGGTCTCTTCTTTTATTCATAGTCACACATGGGTCACACAATATACACTTGAACCAATTTAAAAGGATCCATAGGAGGCTTGTCCTCCAAGTGCTACCCTACATATCAGGTTTGCGTACAGATGCTTACTCTTCCTACTATCTATCTGGAACTGGTCTTTCTGTGCCTGGTGGGCTGACCTTTGCTGAATGCCAGTTGCCCTCCAAAGCCACTCTGTCACTCTGCTCCTCAGCTGAACAGAGAAGAGAAAATATATGGAAGGCTTCTGGGTCAAGGTATGGGCAGGGAGACATCACTCAGCAGTCATTGTCACAGGCAAAACAGACTTGACTTGGAGAAATCAGTTTAATTTATTATCAATCAAATCAGAGGAGGATAATAAGAAATAAAAATTAGCCTTAAAACACCTTCCCCAATCCTTCCTTTCTTCCTCTTCAAATTCACTCCCTTTTTTCTTTCCCAGCTGCACAGGGGAATGGGAATGGAGACTGTGGTCAATTCATTGCGCATTGTCTCTGCTCCTTCCTCCTCAGGGGGTGGATTTGTCACACACCTCCCTGGCTCCAGTGTGGGGTCCTCCCATGGGAGACAGTCCTCCAGGAACTTCTCCAACTTGAATCCTTCCCATGGGCTGCAGTTCTTCACAAACTGCTCTAGCATAGAGTCCCTTTCATGGGATGCAGTCCTTCAGGAACAGGCTGTCCTAGTGTGGGTCCCCCATGGGATTGCAAGTCTGGCAAACCTGCTCCAGCATGGGCTCTTCTCTCCACGGTGATACAGATCTTGCCAGGAGCCTGCTCCAGTGTGAGCTTCCCATGGGGTCACCATCTCCCTCAGGCATCCACCTGCTCTGGTGTGTCCTCTGTGGTCAGCAGGTGGATTTCTGCTCCCCTGTGGACCTCCATGGGCTGCAGGGGCACAGCTGCCTCACCATGGTCTGAGCAACGGGCTGCAGGGGAATCTGTGCTCCAGTGCCTAGACCACCTTCGTCTCCTCCTTCCTCACTGGCTTTGGTGTCTGCAGGGCTGTTGCTCTCACTCCCACTCTTCTCCAGCTGCAGTTGCAGTTTTTTTCCTCCCCTTCTTAAACACAGAACCCCAGATGAACTACCACCACTGCTGTTGAGCTCGGCCCTGGCCAGTAGCAGGTCTGACTTGGAGCTGGCTGGCATTGGCTCAAACAGGGGAGAAGCCTCTGTCAGAAGCTCACAGAAGCAACCACTGTAGTCCCTGCCTCCACCTCCCCAAAAAACCCCCTTGCCCCACAAACCCAGTACACTTAAGATTGCTATCAGCTCCACGTACATGGGAGCTCCAAAACATGAGCATACAAATGACCTGTTTCATTATTAGTTACCAGACTGACAGTTTTTAGTAAGAACGACTTTTTAATCACACCACTTTTGCTTGCAGTTCATATAACCCTAAATTGTATCTTGTCCAGCACTCTAGGATTTACCATGTTAAAGTGCCGTTCTAAAACACTTGGTTTATTCCTTTCCAGGGACAAACAATCTGGCATGGTGCTGATCAGACACTTTCTGCCACCGACCTTCATATTTTATTAATCAACCCTTCTCTTCAGCATGAGGTGAGAGGGAATAAAAAAAGGAATAAATAAGTTCAAGAAAAGAATTTGTGTTCAAAGTACCATAATTTGCACATTCCAGTACAACAGGATCCTCTTCTCTGGCAATTCCTTTTCTTTGTCCCACTCTTGAAATGGCCCCTCAGGGGATGTTAATTGAATACAAGGTTATATTGTTCTCCTGCCTCACAAATACCAACTAGACCTGGGGACCATCCCTTCACTTACCTGCTTATATTGAACAAAAGTTATTTTGTTATGGATCTCCCCCCTGATACTTTGTAAGTGATTGTAAGAAAAGAAGTAAATCACAGAATTAAATTTAGAGAAGACTGGACAACTATAATTGGAGTGTTTCTCATTATGCTTCTGGTAGCACTGACTTTTGACTCTTACATAAATACAGCTGGTCTTTTGACTATCTTGTTTGAATAAGCAGCCCTTATTTAAATAAACTGTTTTACCAAGCCCTACTGAAAAAGAACTTAATGAGAACCCTGTGGCTGAGCTGCTAAACAAAACCACCTCAAGATCTGCAAAGGTTCCGTATTGTTTTCCCTCTAATTAGGACCCTTTCAGAACTTATGTATCTTTTTTCATTCTTAGATGAACTTGTCTAATTAAGAATCTGTTTTAAAATATGTCTTGTTTTCTGACATGAAAAGCTACTGCATTTGTCATGTAGGCAAGGAATGCCTGACACAGGGTTGTTTGGTTTTGGGTTGAATTGCTGTATAGAAGCCTAAATCCATCAGAACTCTAGACCATGTATTTAGTGACAGATAATTACACTTAACTGCAGAAATACCTGATGTATGAAACAGGATATTAGTGGCTACAATAAAACTGGAGAGATTCCCTTCGAATGAGAAGGCCAAAACCAAGAGCACAAGGACTGCCTCTCCTGGGACCTTGATAAAACAGAAAAAAAAATGTAGGAAAGATGGACTTGCAAACTTGTTTTTATAGCTGCTTACTTCTTTGAGGCAAAAAGCTTGGTTAATGGTGAATGACCTTGCTGAAGTAGAGTGTGTGAGGAATTAACAGAATTGCACACCCTTAATATGTACGTTAATACATGTATATATGGCTTAAGTCTGTTTTATCAACTTCTATCACTACCATTTGTAGACACCTCTTAGTTATTGCTGGAAGGAAATGGGTATGCCCCTGGTGTTTGAATATGGTACTCAGAAATATTTCAAGTGTCCTTGGTGCCTCCTCACTAGTTTCTGTGGAGAGCGATATTCTCATCATCTTTGCCAAATGACATTGATCCAAAATTTGTTTGAGTATGAGCTTGGGAACAGTAACTTTCACGTTATTGTCTACCACTAGCTGCAGTTGAAGATGTTTTAGTCTGTTGGAGAAGTCTGAAATATGCCCTCTGGTACGTGCTGTAATTAGGCATAAGTACTGTCTGTCTGGAACAGTGTTCCCAGAGGTAACAGTGTTAGGTAGGAGGGGAGCTCTCTTCATGCCTTTTATGTTTGTAACTGATCCTGGACTCTAGGGATTAACTCTGTTCTGTATGCACTATGGGCCAGGAAGGTCAATTAGTACAGCCTCTTACAGATTTTATTTTTCAGCCTTGTCAGACTAAACTCAAATACATGAAATGTCAATATAATTTATTAAAAGATGCATGAATGTTACAGATTTACACATTTTCTGCTATATACTGCTTCCATTCTGGCAAACCTTAACACTTCTTTGTCTCAAAGCACAGCCATGATGCAATATCAGCATCATGTGCACAGCATTACTGTCCTCAGCACAACGGCCGTAGCAACAGTTCTTATGCAAGTAATTTTTTGAACAGCTGGCAAACAAAATAATCAGGTTATTGCTTCTACTTTCTTCGTTTATGCCTGTGATACTTGTCTTCATCCCTGAAACAAAAGCACAAACATGGTGTGGGCTGTTAGGCTCAGAGGCTGGAGGGAAAAAAAACAACTTGTAAAATGGGAAGCTCTGCAGAACATGTAGTCATGTTCTCTGCTAATGAAAGAAAGTAAGCTACTTTAAGACAGTTTATTTCCCATGTTGCTTTAATCAAAGCCTTGTCATGCAATGCAGAGAGGCAGTTAGTTTAGGATGAATGACATCACAGTGTAATGAAGCCAGCTTTGATAGAAGCAATCATTGCCATCCATGCACTTATCTAACACCATTTACATGCTAGAGACAGTGCATTTCTTCTGCACAACAGCCCAAGTCTTTGCTTAAACAGGTTCTATACACCTACAGTCCTGCAGGTGTAAATATATCCTTGCTGATGGTATTAGAAGGTGTGGCCTAGATTTGTTTTCTTTTGCTTTAAAATACATTCAGAAATACTGAAGAGCGACCGCAGTTTAGAAGCACCTACCATAGAAAAGCTAGTCAACTGACTGTGTATACATATTAGTGAAACAAATAATCCTATTTAATAAGTTCCAGTGTGAACTAGAGCAGAAATTAGCATTAGACATGACAAGCACACTTAGCTGTGGATGAGGGACATACTGTCCATGTAACCATGTTGATGAAGGAGTAAAATAGTCTGTGACGGTACTGTATTACTCCTGCAACATGCTGTTGGAACTGCCACCTTTCACATGTGAGAGTAAATTCTGAAGTCTGGATCGCAGTTTGTGGTCTCACAGCATGTTTTGTTTAGTGTTAGTAGCCTCATGCACTGACTTGACATACTGTACATGAGGTTAACCTAGCTTGTTTACTGGACTAGATATTCTTGTTCTCTGTACTAAATTATCACAGACAGTGGTTGTGGCTGCCTGATTCAGAAGCAGGAGTCAGCTGTCCCTATTTATGCTCACCTCTCTCTTTTTCTCCGAGAGTCTCTGTCTTTGCCTCTTTCGTGACTCCTTCTTCGTTTACTTGGACTCCTGCTGGTGTCTCTCCTGTGTCTTGTGCATTCAGTATCCTTACTGCTTTCCCCAGACTGCTGAGAGTCCACTGAAGCTGATCGCCTGTCTTCCCTTCTGAAAAAAAGGTTATCGATTTTAGTCAATAACAATAGTTTCAGAGTCACTTTTGGTTTCAGTATAAGTTCTGTAATATAATGACCTAATAACAATGTAAGACAGAGGACATACCTTTTATTAAGCCTCTCTCTCACCCTTGGAAATACCGTTACCTCCCAAAAGAAGCCCAAAGTCTATGCTTTTATATATCCACATCTCAGCACATGATTTAATGTAGGTATTTTCTTACAAACACTGCCCCTCAGTCTTAACACCTCTGCTTATGAAACAACATAATGGAAGGGGTTCATTTTGTTTTGCTCTAAATCCTGAACTATTCAACTACCTGCCTCAAGCTGCTACCTGCAGTCAGAGAACCCAGCAGGCCCAGTCTCAGAGAGTCACAGAATCGTTAGTGGTGGAAGGGACCTCTGGAGATCATCCAGTCCAACCGCCCTGCCGAGGCAGGGTCAGCTAGAGCAAGTTACGCAAACAGTGGGTTTTGAGTGTCTCCAGAGAGGGAGACTCCAGGGAGACTCCTGGGAACCCTGTTCCAATACTCTGGCCACCCATTAACCTTCATTTTAATGTTGGAAAGAGTGTCACCTTTTAGTTTGTTTCAAAAACATTCTCATCTCAAAGATCTGCTGAAGAGGCACAAACAAATACACTCTCATTAGGCCATAATTTCATTTTTATTTCAGTGACAAATGTTTGAAAGAGTGTGCAGGGTTGCTTAACACAGGAAGAAATATGTATAGATTAAGCACTTTCAGTTAGCACAGCAACATTCACAGTGGTAAGAACTGTAAAGGCTTCCCACATTTAGGGGGAACATTATGGAAACCTTTACTCTGCAATATATCTACCACATCATTTCCTGTCATGTGGTAGAGAAGGGGAAGAAATTGTGTACTTTTATTTACAAGTGTCCTTTTGTACCCAGCTACTACATTTATACGCACTTGGATACAGAAGGAGCTTGGATTTACTTGGATTCATTTCCCAGCTCCACCAGAAATTACCTGTTCACCTGAATCACTTGCAACTTACTACTCCTGAAAGAAGAATACTTACTAATTTTTTCCCCATCCTTCCTGCAGGCAGAGCTTCTCAAGTAAGACTTACTAGAATTAGTATAAAATAAACTGTGTATGTCTCAGACAAGGCCGGTATGTGCTATTAGAAGAAGGTGGTAAAATCAAATTACAGGCTTCAATCTGCTCACATGCCCGAAGAATCCGTCAGCTCTGGCATACCTTCTTGAAGATTTCGACTTCCCTCCTTCACATATCTCTGCATTATCCAACCTGTTCTCCTCCTGCCACTGATTGCTGAGTTCTTCCATATGCACACCAATCACATCCCGAATCACCTGGAGATTAGGATACATTAAAAATGAACATGTCATGGTAGTGGCCTCAACTAGCAACTAGACAGAAAGTAACATCTCAAAAAATCCCAAAACACCCAAAAATCTTCCCCAAACCGTATACGTCAGATGTCTGAATGGAAAGTCTTATTTGCAGAAAGATGTTTCTGTATAAATTTAGATAGCATCATTTTATAATAGTCAAACATATCTTGCCGGCATTTTCACATTCAAAACTTGGCAGTTAGGAATGCTCCTGTTATTTGTAGCTTGCTGCAGCAAACCAAAATCCAAAAATATTCCTCTATAATTTGCAGCAATAATAAAGCAGGGTACAAGAAGTGGAGAGAGACACATACTCTTTGTCTTTGAAAGAGTATATAATTGTTTATGCTGATATACAATAAGCACTTTTGTGCAAAAAAGCCTTTATTTTCAGATCTCACCTCAGTGTAAGACTTCTTTGTTATATGAACATTCTTAGCCCTGTATGACTGCCGCCGCCTTTTGTAATCTCGCATTTCAGCCAGAATTTCAAGATGGGATTTGGGACCTTTCTGACTATCATCTAGAGAAATTGGAAGTAAAACAAATGGCCGTTAGCAGGACATGAGCAGGTCTGATACTTTCAGGAACATAAAATATATTGTGTTCTTTCTGAAGTTTCTCCAGCACTTAGGAACTATTATGAATTTCGCACAAACTTCCTCTCCAACCTTCATGCTAGCTTGTTTACATGACTAAAAAGACACCAAGCTAACACTGTTATGGGATCTCAGTCTCCTAACTGTGGCCCAATGGGTTTGCAATTTTGGCTTGCAGTTTGATCAAACGCCTACTAAATAAGGGTCAGGTTTTCCAGTATTACAATAAGAGCCAAAGACTGCAAAAGCCAGATTCTGAAAAACATTTACCCGTAGAGGACAAGCACCATCTCCTACCTTCCAGGCACACCAGGGCCCACAAAGTGACACAGTAATGCTGCATAGGTAGCTACAAACTGGCATGACTCAACAGGGATGAGAGGCCTCAGTGCAATACGCCCATTTGCATACTGCTCAAGAGCTCCACTTAGATGACAGCCAACCTTTCCCATTCTTTTACTCTTAAGTGATCTTTAATCTTGCCATCTCTTACAGCAAATACTGTTCTGAGCTGCACAGTAAGTTGGCAACATTAAACAACCCAAAGTCAGTTGCAGCAAGGACAGAAGATCCATCCACTGAGAGACGTGTGCAAAAGAGCAGAGCAATGAGGCTTTCCCAGAAAGAAAATATAAAGAACACCAAACTTGTGTTTTCTGATGCCAGGTCTTTGCTGTGGCTTTTAAGAACAGTATGCTTTCCACAAGAAAAACAGCACAGCCAATTTCTTCCAGCTTTCAACAAAACTCATCTAACTAGACAAACTGAAAGTCAAATTCAACAACAGATAGTTCTTCAAACCTTGGGTGATTTTCGCTGCTAAATCCACAAAGAGATCACTATCATTTTCCATTATTTGGGATCTAGATCTCTGTTTCTTTGTCTCCTCAACAACATAATCATAAAGAGCAAGGCGGTCAGCTTGAGTGAGGTCACAGATGAACCGCTTGTGATTTTGAGGAACTTCTACAGGCAGCAATGAGTAAGATCCTGGAGGTTGAACAGAAAGGTGTTATTAGTAAAAGAGCATAATTATACAGGAAAACACTGAGAACCTCAACAAACAATGCAGTGATCACCCATGCTGTTTTCATCCTTCCCCTATGTAAGAAATTTCAACCTTCTTAATTTGAAAGGATAAAAAACTGCTCAAAGGAAAAAGAAAGGCCCAAATCCCTCCCAAGGCCCACACAGGCTGTACAGCCCCTCTTGACTGCTTACACACATACAGGTTTTCATATGCCATGAAGGAATCATAGTAGATCAGATTAAAATGACATTCTGTATTGTCCCATCAGTTTCAGCTCTTGGCTTACAAGCTAAAGCAAGAGAGGCTGCAGCTCTAACTTTGTGGGCTTATTTTACTCCTAAAATATTGTACAAAGTACTAGCTGCAAAACACGTGTTCTGACAACAAGGATGACAAGTTCTAGGAGACTAGATAACTGACCATTGTGCAAATCAGTCTCATTCACACTGTCACCTTCTCTACAGAGCTCTTATATTAGACTGCTACAGGGATTTATAGTTTAAAGGGCAACAAAGGCACTTTCAAAGTGTTCCAGATTGGTTCAGATAACTAGCTTTAAAGTTATAAAAACACACTGCCTGCACACTCTTCTTTCCCTGAATGATCAGCCCAGTACTCTTCCCATTCCCCAGTTAAAACACATATCCCTCCAAACAAATAAATCCATTCTCAATCTGTTGCAACAGCAGCAAAGTGAACTCCCTAAAGATACAGGATGCAATATTCTAGAATATTGTCTGCAAAAAAGGCATTTTATTCAAAAACATTCAAATTTTCAGCAACCACTGACCTGACCTCCATAATCCTCCTCCCCACAACACAACTTTCTTCCTGCAAGGCAATATCCCATACCTCCAGGAAGACAGAAGAGCCACACATAAGATGGGATGTTTGCAGGAGCCTTTACAACAGCAAAACTAGTGCTTCTCTACATTATTCAGGTCTTAAGGGAAGCTGGACAGTCTTTCACATCCTGCTTTCACTAAAGACACCACAAAGAAGAGGAAGAGGAGCCACAATAACTCTACAAACAAACCTAAAATACATGATTTCATCATTACTATACTTGGAGCCTAAACCAGAACTGTTCTAATATGAAAAAATGGATTTAAACACAAAAAAAAATAGAATTCTGTTCTTAAAATGCACCGTTCTTACAGGGTCACTGAAGTCCATAAAAATGCCCCAAGTTATGTGCTTGTGATTTTACAAGAATTTCATGACTTTTGATTAGGACCAGTTTTGCTGTTCTACAATGTAGCTAAGCTAATGTTCTAATGAGGGTTAGAATTTAAAAAAAAAAAAAAAAAAAAAAAAAAAAAAAAAAAAAAAAAAAAA